CTGTGGGCCCACTCTGTCTGGGCCCTGTGCTGGGTGCAGGACTATAGTCACATCCTTTCCCTGGAGCTGATGTTCTAAGAGGGGAGAAGATAACGACCCAAGAAGTCCGGTGGGTCAGATGGCAAAGTCACTGGTGAAAAATAAAGCAGGGAGAGGGAAGGAGGGTTGGCACTTTAAGTAGGGTGGCTGGGGAAAACCACAATGAGAAGGTGACATATGAACAAATTCTCGATGGGAGTGCTAGGGTGAGCCAAGTGGACACAGAGACAGTAGCCAGTGCCAAAGTCCTGAGCTGGAAGTGTGCCTTGAACATTCTTATTCCAGGAGCAGCAAGAAGGCCCATGTGGCTGCAGCAGAGGCAGCCCAGTGGAGAGAGGTGGGAGCAGAGGCAGAGAGGTATCAGCTAGACAGTTGGAGCAGAGAAGACATGTGATGTGACTGAAGTCAGAGTAAAAAGTCAAATGTGTTAAGCGGCAGCTCCGTATCAAGCTTGTACATTAATTAGTGGCTCATGGAATCCCTCCTCCCCCTGTGGCAGATAGATTATGATTATAATCAAGGACATGGAGATTCAGAGATATGGCCGAGACTCCTGCTAGATCACCCAGCTTAGAGGTGGCGGGGCCTGGGCTTGTCCCAAGATGTGTCTGACACTGGGACAAGCCCTGAGCTGCCATGCTGAGTTTCAAGCCCAGGCCACAGTGCGAGGCCAAGTGATAGAACAGATGGGGGGGCTTTCCAGGGGCAGGTTGGATTGGGCTGTGTGGATGGGTGTGATCTCTGCCTTTCCTCCTTCTTTCTCTGCTTCACCCTGAGGTGACATTGGCTCTTGGGCAGGGGGTCTGGAAGTGATGAAAGGGGGAGAGTCTCTTGCAGGGGTGCCTACCCATGGGCTGTATGCCAGGATAGAAACATTCATGCCACAAAGGGGTTTGAAAAAGCTCTCTTCCAGCCCCTCTCAACATGGAAGTCCTCCCAACAAGGAGGCCAACAATGTTGGCTCTTCCAACATTGAGCATACTCAACCCCAATATGAGGGACTTAGATAGAAACAGAGTCCAATCTGATGGAGGTGGCACAGGGTAGGGGCTGCTCAGTCAGAAGGTGGAGGCCCCAATCTTTGTTTATACAGGTTGTGTCAGTGGTGGATCATGGCTTGTCTCCGTGGCGTTGGGAGAATGTGGTGTTGCAATTTTTGGAGAATAAATGAGCAAGAACGGGTGGAGCATCCCCAGCTCTTCTTCCATGGGTAAGGATAGAAGATAGTGGGATCTGGAAAGACTAAGGAGAATGAGTAAAATCTTCTAGTGCCTGTTACTTTGAGTGAGCTCGACATTTGAAAATCATTTTACCAAAGGGTTTCCCTAAATTCGGTTTTGTAGATTATGAGCTCCAACAGACCAGGGATATTTCACAGCTAAAATTATACAAACAAAAGAAAAAGACAAAACAAAACCAAAAACACTACCAATAACAGCAAGAAAAGAATTCTAAGTTTAATGGATATATTTTTCTGTATTATTTTTTTCTTCCTTAACTTTTTTTAAAAAAAGATTTTATTTATTTATTTGACAGACAGAGATCCCAAGTAGGCAGAGAGGCAGACAGAGAGAGAGGAGGAAGCAGGCTCCCTGCCAAGCTCGATCTCAGGATCCCAGGATCCCAGGATCCCAGGGTCATGACCCAAGCCAAAGGCAGAGGCTTTAACCCACTGAGCCACCCAGGCGCCCCTTCCTTAACTTTTTCACTTTAAGTGTTCAGACAGCAGGAAAGAGAATCGCCGAATAAGTTGTGAATGTTGGTGGGAAGACTTGAAAATCATTCTTTGAACAGTGTGGAACAATCTCAGGGCATGTAAATGATACAACACTTGTTTCAAGGAGAATTTCAGTTTCTGAGTTAAATGAGCCTGAACACTTGTAATGTGAAAAAAAACAATTCTGTGCCAAATCACTGTGAAGATGGGATTAAATGTATCTGTTTCTTCTGTCTGGCCCCAGACTTTCCAGATCCAAAAGAGAGACCCATTCCTCTACACGCCAGCTACCCACCTGTGCCAGCTTCTGAATCTGCTCTGGTTTGGAGACCCATGGAGATATCATCTTTGGTCTTGGGATGTAGTGAGAAATCTCTGGGCCTGGCCAGATCCTAATCAGTGTTGGAGTCTGGCCAAACTGGCCTGTCCAGGGAGGTGACAGCTTCCTGAATATTGCAAAACATCCGGTCCAGGTCAGTTCCAGGTTGGGAAGATGCCCAGAACAGGGTAAAAGGTCTGAACAAGGACTGCGTGGGTGTTCCAACAGCATAAAGTGAGCAGGGATGGCCCCTGGTGGCCAGGCCCTTAGAATGTCTCCTATTTATCTTCTTTTATTTTTTATTTTAATTCCAGTATAGTTAACATACAGTGTTACATACAGCAGTTATGAATAGTTAACATACCCTTTTACATCTAGTGGTGATGTAGAGTTAACATACAGTGTTAGTTTCAGGTGTATGATACCGTGATTCAACAATTCTACATGTCGTGTGGTGCTCATCATGGTAAGTGTACTCTCTTAATCCCCTTTACCTATTTCACTCCTCTCCCCACCCACCTTCTCTCAGATAACCATGTTTGTTCTCCATATAGTTAAGAATCTTTTTTTTTTTTTTTGTTTGTCTCTTTTTTTCTTTATTCATTTGTTTTGTTTCTTAAATTCCACATATGAGTGAAATCATATGGTATTTGTCTTTCTCTGTCTGGCTTATTTCATTTAGGATTACACTCTCTAGACCTATCCCATGCTGTTGGAAATGGCAAGATTTCATTCCTTTTTATGGCCAAGGATATATATATACACACATCCATACCACATCTTCTTTGTCCATTCATCTACTGATGGATACCTGGGTTGCTTCCATAATTCGGCTTTTGTAAGTAATGCTGCCATAAACAAAGGGAGGCATATATCTTTTTGAGTTAGTGTTTTCCTGTTCTTTGGGTAAATATCTGGTAGTGGAATTATGGGATCACAGGGTAGTTCTGAGGAGGAAACAGAAGGCTGCCTGAGGGCAAAGCAAAAGCTGATACCCTCCAACTCCCCCCACCCTTCTGGGTGGGACAAATGTGACATTCTTTAGGAATCTCCCACCCATCTTAATGTTAATACCTTGCTAGAGGGCAAAACGACCTTGGCAATGGCAAGGCCTCTGGTATCTGGTATCTTTGTAGGTCTTTTTTAGCATATGAAAATTCTCTTGAAACCTCCCTTTTCCTACCCCCCCCCCCCCCCCCCCCGCCCGCCGTGGTACAAAACCTGGCATCCCTCACAACCTGGGGCAGCAGCTCTTCCTGCCCACTGGTCCTGTCCCCGCGCTTTAATAAACCACCATTTTGCACCAAAGATGTCTCGAGAATTCTTTCTTGGTCATCAGCTCCGGACCTCACCCCACCGAACCTCACCTATACTCTAGAACTTCATCAATTCTATTTTTAATTTTTTGAGGAAAGTCATACTGTTTTCCACAGTGGCTGCTCCAGTTTGCCTTCCCACCCACAGGGCATGAGGGTTCTTTTTTCTCTGCATCCTTGCGAGCGCTTGTTGTTTCTTGTGTTTTTTATTTTAGCCATTCTGACAGCTCTGAGGTGGTATCTCATCGTGGCTTTAATTTGCATTTCCCTGATGATGAATGATGTTGAGCATCTTTTCACGTGTCTGTTAGCCATCTGGATGTCTTCTCTGGAGAAATGTCCATGTCTTTTTTTTTTTTTTTTTTTTTTCTTCCATCAGAGAGAGAGAGAGAGAGAGAGAGAGAGCGCGCGCACGAGCATGGGGAGCCACAGGCAGAGGGAGAAGCAGGATCCCTGCTGAGTAAGGAGCCAAATGCGGACTCAATCCCAGGACCCCAGGATCATGACAGGACCTGAAGGCAGATGCCTAACCAGCTGAGCCACCCAGGCATCCCAGAAATGTCCATGTCTTCTGCCCATTTTTAATTGGATTATTTGCATTTTTGGTGTTGAGTTGTATAAGCTCCTTATATATTTTGGACACTAACCCTTTAGCAGATAGTCATTTGCAAGTATCTTCTCCCATTCAGTAAGTTGTCTTCTGCCTTAATTACTTTCTTTGCTGTGTAGAAGCTCTTTAACTGGATGTAGTCCCAATAGTTTAATTTTGCTTTTGGCTCCCTTGCCTTAGGAGACATATCTAGAAATGTCTCCTTTTCTTTTAAACATGTAATTTATAACTACTTCTCAGGGCCGAGGGTTCTGGAGAGGCCCAGACTGCGTCACACTTCTCTGTATTACAAATGGGTAAACTGAGGCCTGGGCAGAGGTATTCCCCCCCAAGGTCACAGGTCACACAAGGAGGCATGACAATAACAGAATAGGACCTAGGTTTCTCCATCCACGGAGAATCCCACGGATGTCATTCCAAGGGACTAGTGTTCTTTTAAATCGACACTTGTTTTTTTTTTTTTTTATTATTATTTTTATTTGACAGAGAGAGATCACAAGTAGGCAGAGAGGCAGGCAGAGAGAGTGAGAAGGAAGCAGGCTCCTTGCTGAGCAGAGAGCCCGATACGGGACTCGATCCCAGGACCCTGAGATCATGACCTGAGCCGAAGGCAGCGGCTCAACCCACTGAGCCACCCAGGCGCCCCAAATCGACACTTGTTTTAAGTTCGGAGGAGCGGACCATTTAAAGAATCTCCGAGGGGTGACTAATTGGCCCTTAAGGCATTGGGCGACCACCTGGTTTCAAGGGCCCTTTAAGAGAACGCCCAAAGAATGACTCACGTGTCCTCCACTTCCGGGATCCTTGAGGCCTTTCCTACGCGTGGTTAATCCCGCCCGGCTCTCAAGGTGTCTTGGGAAAAGTAGTTCCACTTTCCTACACACCCTAGGTGGCCGCGGTCTTGAAACTGCATTTCCCAGAAGGCTGTGCTCGTGGCCTCGTAAACCGAGCTAGGGGTGGGCGGCGTGAACGCCTCATCCTGCGTGTTATCATTTCTCTGGGGATTAGTGACAGTGGACAGAGATCTTTGGCCGCGACGTCCGTGGGCTGCTGGCCTGGCGGAGCTGTGCGCGGAGGCCGTGGAATTCGCCACACAGCTCTGCTTCCGGCCTGGGGTCAAAAAGCCGACGCGCTGCGTCTCCTTTAATCGCCGTGGGCGGGGCGTGACGACGCGACCCGCGTTGCTATTGGCGGCGGTTGGGGGCGCGGAAACTGAACGGGCAGCAACGGCCGACGCAGCTTTCTCCGGCGCCTTGGGCGCCCCCGGCCCGCCATGGCTGCACCTTGCCCTGTAAGTTCTCGCCGGAGGTGTTTGCCCGGCCTTAGTCTCCCCCCTGGGACTGTGGGCGCCTGGCCCGGGCGATGGCTGCGAGGGGGCGAGTGGGACGCCGGGTTCCAAGCCAGTCTTCTCCAGCCGCTTGACGGTCTGTGCAGGGGTCACTGGGTCGGGACACGTAGTGAGCACCTCCGGCGCGCCAGGCCCTTTGCAGACTTCCGCGGCGGACCACCAAGTCCCTGCTCCCTGGATTCGCATCCTAGCTGAGGAGACGCTAGTACTAGTACGTTTCGACTGCAGGTCGGGCCGGAGGCCAGCTCCAGGCCTCGCTGGCCTGAGTCTCACCATCCTGAGCAGTGGGTGGCTGGTAGGGGCTTTTTTGAGCGAACACTTGCTTGGACGGGACAGCTCAGGTCTGCATTGTGTTCTGGGCTGGGCGCCCTGAGTCCCAGGTTCCTCCAGAGGGAAGCACTCCCAAACCCCTCTTTTTGAGAGATTGTGTAAACATGTCTGGTCTTTGGGCTGGGTTGAGAGTCAGGAAGATCAGATGGTGCTCTGTAGAGCAGAGGGCCTAGACTTAGGATCCAGCTTTTTGATCCTTATTCTAGCCCTTTCCACAAATCCCTCCCCACTTTTGGGGGAGATGAGGAACCATAGAGCCTGGTGGGATGAGGAGGTGGGAAGGGTGTTGGGAGGTCTCAGGAGCCCCCTGGTCAGAGGTAGAACTGAACTTGCCTAGAGGTGGACATTATCTTATTCTTGTTCTCCTAAGAGGTTCAGATGTAGCAGTTGCTGCTCTGTTGGGGGCCCTTTCCCAGCTGCCACTCCCTTTCTTGTTGAAAGGGGGACTGGGGCAGGTGTGTTGGGGGTGGAGCTGGGCACAGGGCCCTGGGGGCCTTTGTTCTGGTTACAGCTCTGTGAGGTGGAAACGGTCTTAACTCTGTTCCCAAGGACATTTTTTTTTTTTTTTTTTTTTTTTAACCAAGAGGAGGTTTTGCTGGGCTCCATGGTGTGCCCAAAATGCTTCTTTGAGGTTTCTGATATTTAGGGAAGGGGAGATGTTTGCATGGCAGGACTGTAACTTTTCAAGTACTAAGAGAAGCTGCTGTTGGGTGGTAAGAGTCTCTGGAATATTTTCTCCATGTCTTCCTAAGCTGTGTCCTGAACAGCTGCTTCCTTGACCTCAGTAGAGGTCAAGTGCCCCTTGGGTCACTGACCCTTGGGGCCTGTCCAGGCTGACCTTTGGGTTCAGTGGCCCACACTGGCTGCCAGTGAGATTGAAAGTGCAGAATCTGATTCCCGAAATGGGAGTTGCTGAAAGACCCCCCATTTCTTCTTCATTCTCTTCGAAAAATTGCTTTGTTGAAATACTCACATGTCCTAAAATTCACTTTTTTTTTTTTTTTAAGATTTTATTTATTTATATGACAGAGACCGTGAGAGAGGGAACACAAGCAGGGGGAGTGGGAGAGGAAGAAGCAGGCTTCCTGCGGAGCAGGGAGCCCGACATGGGGCTTGATCCTAGGACCTTGGATCATGACCTGAGCCAAAGGCAGACGCTCAACCATCTGAGCCACCCACGTGCCACACGATAGATTTTTATATATTGATCTTGCAACTTTGCTTAACTGGTTTATTAGCTCTATTAGTTTTTTAGCTATATGTTAGTTATAGTTATTTAGCCATATAAAAATAGTTATTTAGCTATATAAAAATCCTAAGGATTTTTATATATAGGATCATGCCTTGAGCATTTTTGTACCTTCCTGGCTGTTTGGAAGGGTTTTGACCCCTGGGGAAGCCCCTTCTTCATTCAAGTTTCACACATTTGACCCTGGCTTTCCAACAGGAGGACCCCTCGCTGGAGAGGCATTTTAAGGGCCACCGAGATGCAGTTACCTCTGTGGACTTCAGTCTCAACACAAAGCAGTTGGGTAAGAGGAGGCATCTTTTCCTAGGCACTAGGTTATGAGCCGAGAAGGCAGAGTCTGTAGCTGGGAGGTGTGGTATGAGGGGAGTAGGACACCGTGAGGACCCAGGTGGTTTGTCTAGACCTGCATTTGGCTTCAGCTGGCCACTGTCTGAGTGCTGGGCTCTGTGGCTCTGTGAACTGCATTCTGCATGCAGAGTGTGAGACTCAGAGAGTCTGGGGGCCTTGCCAAGGGCATGTAGCCTTGGGAGGGGGGCCCAGGGTCTGGGCTTTTCACTGCATATACCCCAGCCATCTCTTGGGTCTGGCTGGTGGAATGGCCCTAAACAATGGCTCCTTTTCCTTGGGTCCTCAAGTCTGTTGTCCACAGCAGTATGGGGGCATCCAGTGAGAAGGGCGAAGAGCAGAGCCACGTACTTCCTACCCGTGTGCAGCAGCTGAGTACTCCTGCTTCTTGGTCGCGTGGGGGTTCCTATGCAGCCGTCATGGCTGCCGTTTGCTTGTTTGTTTCTTTTTTTTAATGCATTTTTTTTTCTTTTTAAGATTTTACTTATTTATTTATTTGAGAGCGTGAAAGAGCACGGGTGTGCACGTGCGCACAAGTGGAGGGGAAGGAAAGAGGGAGAGGGAGAAGCAGATTCCCAGCTAAGAAGGGAGTCCAGGACCCTGGGATCGTGACCTGAGTTGAAGGCAGGCACTTAACGACTGAGTCACCCAGGTGCCCCTGCTTTCTTCTTTCTATGGATAAGGCTCCCCCTTCATCCCATGGTCAGGGTCCCCTGCCAGAGGTTGCTGGTCACTATAGATGAAGAACAAACGAAGTCATTTGATCTATCTTGGGGAATCTCTAGGTTTCTGATTAACTTGGCCCCTCTCAATGGTAAAAGGCCATTGGATTGGGCTGGGAGGACTTGCTGTCTAGTACCCTTAGGGTGTGACTATGGGGGACCCCACGGGGGATGAGTTTTGTCAGAGGCCTGCTGGGTTGCGGCCTCGGGCTGCCATGTGAAGGGCATCTCTTGGCTTCTCTGCCCTGTGGGCCTGCTGCTCAGAGAGCTGACAGCCCATCGATGCTCCAAACCCAAGCTTAGCAGTCACTGGAAGTGTGGTCTGTCTCCTGTCCCCTCACCCCATCGTCCTGCTCAGAGGCTCAAGGCCCACCAGAGCTGAGGGTCACAGCATCCCTCCTTCCTCAGCCAGTGGCTCCATGGACTCATGCCTCATGGTCTGGCACATGAAGCCCCAGTCACGCGCCTACCGCTTTGCGGGTCACAAGGACGCTGTCACCTGTGTGAACTTCTCCCCTTCGGGACACCTGCTGGCCTCAGGCTCCCGAGACAAGACCGTCCGGATCTGGATACCCAATGTGTGAGTTACAGGCTTGGAAGGGCTTATCTGAGCCTGGGGCCCTGGTGCCAGAGCTGTCCCCACTCAGGTCCCACCCTGGCTCTGGACTTGTCTCGATGGGACATCTGCCCGACTTCTGAAGAGGGGCTGTCAGAAGCTGGGGCTCCGGTTGGGGCCCTCCCTGTCAGGTCAGGAGAGGGATTCGGGGCTTGCCGCTGCCATCCCGACAGGGCTCCCATCTGATGCTGCTCATGTGTGGCAGGGTGGGTGGTGGTTCTGGCCTTCCTTGTCGGGGGGCTGGGGCGACTGGCCTGCGCTGACATCGGGAGGGGCCCCTGTCGGGCGGGGAGAGCATCGATGTGCTCACGGGCCCTCTGGTCACTGCTCTGGGTTTCCTGAGTCGAAGTACTCGTCCCCGCAGCAAAGGCGAGTCTACCGTGTTTCGTGCCCACACGGCCACAGTGAGGAGTGTCCACTTCTGCAGCGACGGCCAGTCTTTCGTGACAGCCTCCGATGACAAAACGGTGAAGGTGTGGTCAACTCATCGCCAGAAATTCATGTTCTCCCTGAGCCAGCACATCAACTGGGTCCGCTGTGCCAGGTGAGCCTCGTCCTGGCCCAGGTCCCTCAGAGGGACCCGGGCCTTGAAGGGCCCTGAGGTGCTGCTGGGCACCAGTGTAGCATGACCTTGGGCACACTAGCTCCTCTTTCATATTCCCGAGCCTCAGTTTCCTTATGAGTGAAATGGGAGCAGAGAAGTTGTCACGTTGTGAATTGTCGAGGAGCTTCTAGCTCACACGTGGCAAGTAAGTGAGTTCATTGCCAGCCACGACTGAGCGCCTCACATCTGGGCTGATGTGGCTGGAAGCACATCAGCAGGGGCTGTTTTGGAGCAAGAGCGACAAGGTGATGTCGCTTCTACCTCACTACGATTTCTTTTCCCTTTTCATGGCAGTCCTGCAGGCTATATGGTGTCATTCCCACTTTGCGGATGAGGACAGCGAGGCTCAGGACAGCGCAGTATCTTGCCCCTGGGCGCTCGCTTGGTTAGTGGTAGAGCTGGGATTTGAACCTGCGGTCTACTGCTCAGAAGTTGATTTTGCTTGAGCTGCTGGATGGGGGTCGAGGCTTCTGAGGAGGCTGGTCTGGAGGCTGGCTCTCCCTTTGCCGTGGTGGGGCAGTGCTGTGGGGATGGGGGCCAAGTGACCCAGAGGACATTTCAGGGGCCAAGGGTCGTGGATGTAAATGTGCCTGCTTTCAGCTATTCTGATCCTTTCTCTGGAGATCTCCGCGTTCCAGAGGAAGAGGTTGGGAGGGCTGGGGATCCTGGGAAACAAAGGGAGTCGGAGATCGGGGCCTATTACAGTGTTCTTCTGGAGACCCCACGCAAGTTACTTGTTCTTAGGGCACCTATGTCCTGGGAAGTCCCTGATTGCTCCGAGAGGCCTCACCATTGGGCTCCTGAGAATAGGAGGGGCCAGGCCAGCAAACAAGTGTGGAACCTACACCAGCCTTCGTGGGTGGGTCCCTAGGACCCACATACTTTTGTCGTTAGATGGTGCTCCGAGTCAAAAGTGAACTCAGGGGACCTGGGAACAGGATAACGATGCTGATGGTGGCTTCGGGACACCTTCATGTTAATAGCATCAGCCATCAGCACACACTTTGCCACATGCCATGTGCAGTGCTGGGGGCCTCGTGTGAGCAACGCTGCTCCCTGCTCCCCACGAGGTAGGTCCCATTCTTACCCATCTCTCAGAGGGAAAGCCGCTTGCCTGGGATTGCTCAGGACCGGAGCAGGGCGCATTGCTTTGGCTGGTTCTGGAATCAGGTGGTGGGCAGGGCAGGAAGGTGGCTGTGGAGGACAGCGTGCCGCACCCACAGTGGTGGTGTGACTTGTGCCCTGCCTGGTTCAGGTTCTCCCCCGACGGGAGGCTCATCGTGTCTGCCAGCGATGACAAGACTGTCAAGCTATGGGACAAGACGAGCCGGGAGTGTGTCCACTCCTACTGTGAGCACGGCAGGTAAGTCACTGGACGCTGTTGTCCTCCTGCAGGTGTTCAGGAAGAGCATGGACCTAGGGACAAAGGGACCCCAGTGGCCTTATGTGGGGCCACGTTTCTGCCCCTCTCTGTCTCTGGATTCTTCCCTCTGTGAGCAGGAGGTTCAGCCTCATCCCCATCCCCACAAATACGGGGGCTAATTTCAAGGCATGTGATGCTTGGGGCCGCTCTTTTCCCTTCACTTCCCAGTTCTCAGACTGGCGACTTGTCTCTCTCAAAGAAGGTGACCCCAGACCTCCCCACATCACATTAGTATGTTACTTACCCATGGTGATGGTTTTATCAATGACAGGCTTGTCAGGTTCTTGTAAGTTCTTGGTGGTGGTTCCCATTGTGCCGCATCATCAGGAGAGGCAGGGGCCTGCACTGGAGCTGGACCTCCCCTGTTCTGGTCTCCTTGATGAACCCCAGCTTCTGCCCTCCTCTAGTAGGCAGCTGGGAGCCCAGGGCCAAGCTCCTCTGGAGAGCCAGCCATGATGCCAGCCTGGGTGTCACATGTGGGCATACTGGGGGACTGTGGCCTGTCTCCTGGAGATAGGTCAACAGCGGCCTTGGGGTCCTGCTGGCCCTTTGGGGCTGGGCCTCAGTGGGCAGGGCCTGTCCTGCCTCCCGCTTTGATGAGGGCTCCAGCTCTGACTCAGAACACCCGGAGTCATCAGCTGATCTCTGGGCTGAGGACCACTTTCTCTATTTGTATTTAGAAGTGGCTGCTGGGATTTGCTCCCTGGTGAGTCCACGTCCGGTACCTGCTAGCTACTGTTCTCAGCCTCTCCTTGCTATCCCTTGGCCCCCGTAAAGAAACAGGACAAAAGGGAGGTCTTCTGTGTTTGGGGAACAGTCTGAGCAGATGTGCATGGTTAGGAAAGGACTGGATGTCTGGGGGTCTGTTCAGAGCCCGGATGGTCCTTCTCTAGCCTGTGGCGGCCCCTGTCTTTGCAGCTTTGTCACTTCCGTGGACTTCCACCCCAGTGGCACATGCATCGCCGCCGCCGGCATGGACAACACGGTGAAGGTGTGGGACGTGCGGACGCACCGGCTCTTACAGCACTATCAGTGTGAGTGGCCGTGCGCCGCCATGGCAGGGCTGGGTGGGAGCAGGCGGTGGGCTTGTCACTCTGGTGCTGAAGCGGCCCCGAGAATGGCCCCGGTCAGTGTGAAAGAGCCCTGGGCCTGCTGGGATCTCCCGTGGTCAGTAGTCTGTGTTGTGGCCATGCTGGCTCGGAACACTGGCCTGGAGGCGGATCGTGGCACTAGCTGGTGTCCCCCAAGCCATCTGGGAATCTTACACATGCTGCAGGGCGAAACGAGGAGCTCGCGGGGTATGTCTGGCCAGGGCCCTGCTCAAGGGCCACTTCTCAGGGCCTGCCTGTGCTACTGGCCTAAGGCGAAGGGGGCAGGTCTGTCAAAAGAAGTCAGTGTTTATACGATCTTGGCCACCTCTGGCCTCATGGTGTCCTCCATAGATACAGAGCCATGAACCAGATGGAGGGTCCACTTAGGCTAGAGACCAGGCTCAGGAGGCAGCTCCGGGGCTGTGTGCCCTTATCCAGCGGTAGCCCTTGGGAGGCAGAGTGGCAGGCAGTCAACATGGGCCGCATCAGGCTCCAGCTGGGGGGTGGGGGAGGGACGGATTTGGTATGATTAGGATGAGCTAGCCAAGGGTACTGGAGTATGGAACTGTCTTGAGAGCAAGTGTGACTGGGCAGGGCCCTGAGCCTCCTCAGTTGTGGGGATGGAGCCAGGGAAGGAAGCTGGCGAGGTCCATGGGAAGAACTGGGAGTTGTGCAAGGGGCAAAATGGTGGGTGGACCCGTGGGCCTGTGCTGAGACTGGGGAGCGGGAGAGCTGGAGTTGTTTGAGAACCTATGGTCATTGACTTGGGACTAAGTTTATTTTTTTTAAATTTTTATTTATTTTTATTTTATTTATTTGACAGAGATCACAAGTAGGCAGAGAGGCAGGCAGAGAGGAGGAAGCAGGCTCCCTGCCGAGCAGAGAGCCCAATGCAGGGCTTGATCCCAGGACCCTGGGATCATGACCTGAGCCGAAGGCACAGGCTTAACCCGCTGAGCCACCCAGGCACCCCTGGGACTAAGTTTAAAGTCCACGGGCTATGTTCCAGAATTCACACCTGAAAATGGGGAGGATGTGTCTGGACAAAGGTGTGGGACTTGGGGTTCAGAGCTCTCCTTTCTACCTGCTCTGAGCCCTTCTTAGCTGATTCTCAGATGTTGAGGATGGCACTTTCTTGAGGTAACCGAGGTGAGAAGATCTTCCAAGAAGAGGGAGAGGCACATGGTGGAGGGTGGGCTCTGCAGCCAGTCTCTGCATTCCTAGTTTCGTGATGTTAGGCAGGTCACTTGACTCCTCTGGGTCCCCTGGGACAGTGATGGGGTCTGCCTTGCAGATGGTGTTTGTAGGGTAACAAGGTGGTCTGGAACCAGGTGCTGTGTTCATGATGCCCGAGTTGCCGAGTCTGGGTCCTGGAAATCCCGGAGTAGGGAGTCTGGCCTGCACTGCCCTACACCACCACCAGGTGGCAGGGGCTAGCCGCATAACTGGTTCCTTCCTCAGTAGAGCCGGGTGTTTGTCACAGCCTCAGTCCCAGACGGACCTTCCAAAACAGAGCAGCTATGCGTCTGCCCTCTACTTGGAGACCACAAGTCTCCTTCCCCTCCTTCAGGCTTTAGAGGCCTCTCTTCTGCTCTGGGCCAGGCCTGGGTTAGAGAATGGGCACATCTGCATGGTTAACTAGGGGATGGTTTGCGGGTGTGGAGGAGTGCTGGGCCGGAAGGCGCTCCTGAGTGTGGGGTCAGGAGAGATGGGAAGGGAAGGTGACGAGGCACTGCAGGTTGGAAGTATAGGCTCTTTCCTATCTGTAACTGGGGTGGTAATAATACCTTATGGGGTTTGTGAAGCTCTGTTGGGGGAATCCACGTGAGTCCTGGAAATGTGGTTTGTAACACAGAAGTATTTTTCTTTTAATTTTTTGTTTAATTTTTTTTCACCACATAAGTCTTGACACGGGAGAGGATGTCTAGGCGACCCTGGGAGGGTCCAGCTTCACCTCTGATGGATCAGGAGCATGAGTCTGGGTTTGTAGAATACACCAGCGGGTACCCATTGGGGAGGACCTTGAATGCCATACTCTGGCCTATGGTCCCAAAGATGCAGTCTGGCTGGCCGTGCTGGGACTGGTCCCATTGCTTGAGGAGTGAAGGTCTTTCTGGGAGGACAGCAGTGCTGGGAGGTCTGCATGGGCTGGGGGTGGGGGGAGTTGATGCATCTGGGTGACTGGTGGGTGGGCCGCTTGCACCCAGTGTCTGAGTGAGGGCCGGGTTGTGAATGGGGCGGGGATTGGGCCCAGAGGGATAGGTTTTGGAGATTGACTGGAGTCAGGAGGTCATGCTGTGGGTTGAGCAGCCAGCTGGGCCCAGGAATCGGGGGGCTTGGGAAGGGCTGAGGCCATATCCTGGGTCCCTGCGATTGAGGGGCTGCAGAATGGAAGGTCCACAAAGCAGCCAGAGTGAGGGGTAGGAGCCCTCTCTCCCAGTATGGGAGGACTGAAGGGGCAGAGCCAGAGGCACGAAGGAGCACAGCGTCTCCTGAAGAGTGTGATTGGGAGGAGGAGTGATGTAAGGCAGTCGAGGAGGGTGCCGGGTGCTGGAGAGCGGTCCCTGGAGTTCTTGAGGGGGCAGTCTTGGCAGTGGGTGGGGCTGGGAGGTCAGTGACTGGCAGGGCTGGGGAGGTGGTGGGAGGGCTCAGGTGGTACCAGGAGCCAAGTCCTGAGGGGACCCGAGGTGCGTGAGGCTAACAGGCTCTGCAGAGAGATTTCAGTGGGTTTTTTTGCTGTTGTCCTTTGCTCTTGTGACAGAGCCACCGGTGTCTTGTTCCTAAGCCACCCCAATATGGATCGGATGCCTTGGGTGGCTTGGAATACCCCGGCGTTTCCTCAGCTCCCTGCCCAGTGCATGGTGCATGGGGCAGCAAACTCATTGCACTGGCTCTAAGCTCACCCTCTAGGGCTCCAGGAGAGCCTGGTGGATCTGAGGACATTGGCTGGGGGACGGAGCCCTCACCTTTCTGCTGCTTGAGGGCATGGCTAGGTCTGCTTAGGTCCAGCGGCTTCCCTTAAGGGTTCCATGGCCGAACTTTCTTCCTGTGAGGCTCCCTCTCGCCCCATCATAGCAGCTGCTCCCTCATCCTTAGAGGAGCTGGGGCTCTGTTTGGAGGCTGGCTCCCGAGAAGGACTTCTGGCGGTCTGGTAGCACATGCCTGAACTCTTTTCGGTTCCCAACCACTGGAGGAATGTTTTTAAGGCTGCCGTGACATCTCATGTCTCTCTTGGTGACTCTGGATGAGTACCTGGCATTCCTGGGTGGGCTTGGGGCACGTGAGGTTGTCGGGCTTTTCTGAGACCCTTTGGTTCCTGGTACTGTGTGTGGTCAGCAAGCCCAGCCTGCCCATGTCCAGCTGCCCCGTGGTCGCGTGCATCACCGAGGATACTTCCTGTCCTGTGCTGGGTCTTCGGGACTTAATTCGGGCAACAAGCAGGCAGCTGGCACCATTTGTTTCAGGCAAGGAGTTTTTGGCTCTAGCCTGTCACTGTGGGGAGCGGTTCTGGTTTCCCAATTCAGCAAGGAGACAGTGAGGCTGCTGGAGCCCTGGGGGTGCCGGGCCCCACGGAGGTGGGTTCAGCTCCATATGTTCTGAGCCCACATTAAGGCTGTTCAGACATCTGAGCAGCAACCCCCATCCGGAACTCATAATGCAGTTTGTGGCTCACAGGCACGTGCGGGTCCGCCGTCCAGTGATGGGCTGGGGGCGGGGGGTAGGCGAACAGGACAGGGCTACTCCCCATTTCATAGATGGGCAGTTTGAGGCTTGCCCATGGTCCCGCAGCTGGGAAGCTGGGGATCTGAATCCCCAACGGAAGGCCTCTGAGTGTAGCGACCACATGCTGGCTTCCTTACACCATGTTGAATCTCGTGATTTGCTTCCTGAGGTCCCTGGGAGGCCGTGGCTCAGCCTTCTCCCGACATTCTAGTTAGAGCTCAGAGTCCCAGGTTCTCTGTCCCCTGGTTCCTACCACACCCCTCCACCCTACCCCAGATGTGGTCATGGAGGGTCTTCAGGGGGCTGTGCAGTCAGTGGGGCGGGCCTGTATTCTTTGCTTGACATTTAGAGACCAAAAGCGTTGGTCAGGAGGGCAGAGCACTGTCCCACATAACCTGGCCTTCCCACATGGCATCCCTAAGTGGGCATTTATGGGACATTCACACGGAGGCAGGTTTTGAGCACCCTTCCCTGCTGGTATCAGAGCACTGTCATTGTGTGACTCCGTGGCCCCTGGAAACCCAAGGTCGCTGGTGACACCATTGGCACGTTGTGAGCAGCCGCCCCAGGTGAAGCGAGCTGAGCCCTTTGTGAGGGTGGTGGACTGGGCCTTGACCTGGTGTGGCCTGCCTTACAAAGCTATCTCCTTACAAAGCTGCATCCTGGGTAGCTTTGTGTGGGTGCCTGGGACTTCTCTGGGCCCCCTGGTCCCTCTGGAGCCCACTGGGGAGTGGGCTGGGTTTGCGGAGGGCTTGTACATGCAGCGCTGTGTGGGCAGCGTGGATTGTAGTACCTAGGACTCTCCTTAGGCCACGTGCTGCCCATAAGCAATGGCCAGTTCCCGGTGCATAGGGTCAGGGTCTGCAACGGCCTCCGTCCCACCCTCTCTGGGCTGCTGGTGACGTGTAGAATCTTGATGTTGGCATGTCTCTGACCGTGGGTTGGAATGTCTTCCCTGGGGCACCCCCGCCCCGGTCACTTGACACTGATTGCTGCATTGGAAGCAAGAAGAGGGCCTGGAAGCTTTGAGCTTGATCAGAAGTGGATGGCTCTGGATAGTCACTGCTTGGGACTTTATGGCGGGAGCCTCCCTAGGGGACTGTTGTGCAGGGCTGATTCTTCGGATGAGGCCTCCCTAGAATGTGTCTCCCACCTCCGTGGAGTGGGAAGGGCTGCCCCAGGCTGGCGGGGCGGTGGGAGAGGGAGGAGCATGGGGAGGGCCAGGCAGTGGGTCCTGGTATCTAATACATCCTCATCCTCCAGGCTGAACGCTCTTCTGGAGTAAATGGTTCCAGGTGTTTTCATCCCAGCAAGGAGGGCTTTGATATTCCTGCTGTTTAAAATGGAGCAGGACTTCTCGTCCCCGTCTCTGGGGGAGATTCCCTCTGTGGGGTAGACCTGTCCAGCTGGGAGGCCCTGCATGGTATCCACATCCCGTCCAGCCTCCCTGGCAGTGCAGGGAAGCCCTGGACTCCATGAGCTCGCCCTCCCCTGATCCACACCCTCCTGCTCCCACTGCTGCTCTGCCAGCTTTGCCTCAGCTGGGGTGGGGTGGTGTTCATTCCAGGACAGGCTGCCAAGGGCCACAGAAACGAGGATAGCATGTCCTTCTCCAGGCGCAGGGAGGTAGACGTGCCAGGAGCAGCATTTGAAGGGGTCCTGGGGAGGTAGAGGTGGGGCAGGCTGCCTCGCAGAGCTGTCCCGCTGGGGGGCTGAGGGGTTGAGGGTGGCGGGGCTCCCCTCCTCCCACCCCACGTCGCTGCCAGCGTGAAGCAGCAATCTGGCGAGCAGCAGTGGCCGCTCGGGAGTGCAGGGCCCTAGCTCTTAGCTTGTAGACGCCTGACCTAGAGGGCTGGTGGGAGAGTGCTGAGCCAGACTGGGCTCCTGCCTCCCTGGGCATGACTCGCTCTTTGGGGGGAGGGAAAGATTCACTTTTTATCATTCACCCAGTTGTGTAATCACAGTGACTGTATTCTGATGGTTAAAAAAAAATCTGGGACACCTGGATGGCTCAGTCCGTTAAGTGTCTGCCTTCGGCTCCGATCATGATCCTAGGGTCCTGGGGTCGAGCCCCACATTGGGCTCCCTGCTTAGCGGGCAGCCTGCTTCTCTCTCTCCCTCTGCCTTCCCGCCCTGCTTTGCACACACACGTGTTCTCTCTCTCTCAAATTAAAAAAAAAAATCTGGAAGTATACAGAATAGAAATGAGAAGTCCCATATTCCTGTCCTCCCCAGAGGACTCTATAGAAGGTCTCTATTTGGAGCTTCTGTCCACTTCCCTCTGCATGTGCGTGTCCCCTTCCACATGTGGGTACTGGCAGTCAAATTCTGTGTTACGAACGTTCTTTCTGCTTCTGCTTGTGGCTGGCTCCTGCCTGTTCAGTTCCTGATGGGGTCAGCTGTGGCTGAATTCTTTGGCTCTCCATGCCCCAAGTCTTGGCAAACACTGAGAACCCTGACCTTGCCCACCCCCGACAGCCTCGAGTGTGGGGAGTGTGGCAGGCTGAGGGCTCTGTCCTCTGTTTCTGTGGAGCCCCTGTCAGTGCCTCTGCAGGCTGGCTCGAAGAGCTCTGGTGCCTGGAGAGTACTCAGACGGAAACACTGTGTTATGTAAAGCCCTGGCTGTCTCCCCTAAGTGTGCTTGGGAGCTTGTACCCACGCTCCCCAGGCATGCTGGCACATTAGCTGGGCTGGGGTCTGGGGGGGGCTCCCTGTATCCCTGTGGGCTCTGCGGATGGCCGACCTGTGGTGGGTGTGTTTCTGGCCTAACGCTGGTTGCAACCTCCCAGGGCCAGGCTGAGGGGCTGGTTTTAGAATTTGTCTTTCTGTTTGTAGCAGTTCTGATTCGGCAGGCCACGGTTATCTCACCCTCACTGGTGTCCCCGACCTGGCCCATGGATGAAGGCACTGAGGTCTTCTTAAAGCAACTTCTTTAAGAAGGTGTAAGGTAGCTGGTCCTCACGTTGTTGTCCCCACATGGCCTGCCTGGGTCCAGCTCACCAGCCGCTTTCTGAGTCCTGCTCAGTGTCAGGTGCTGAGCCGGGAGGCCAGGACCTGACACAGCCCCTGCCTGTTAGAGCACATAATCTCATGGGGGACCTGGCCACGAGTCAAAGAGCAACACCGAAATGTGAAAGACTGCGGTGAAGAATGCACCCACTGGAGCCTCTTGGTGCTTCGGGGGGACAATTCAAGGGGGTGGCTCTGATGAGATCGGGAGGCTTCCTGGAGGAGGTGACCCAAGCAGTGAGCTTCAAGGTCGGGGCTGGAGGTGGGCAAGAGTCTCCTAGCTCTGTGTAGAACAGCTGGGGAGCTGACGGGCTGGGGTGGCTGGATTGCGCAGAGTGAGGGTCCCCAGGATGGAGGGGCTCAGGCTGGGCCACTGGGGGAAAGGGTCACACAGATGAGGGGGAGCTATGGAGTGGGTAAAGTGGCAGGACCTGGAAGCTGTGGGTGACAGCCGGGGCAGCAGAGAGGCCCATCAGGGACAGAGGCCTCGTGGGCAGGCGCCTTCCCACTGCGCCCCAACCCGTGGGTGCTGAGGTAGAGCAGGAGAAGCGGACACAGCATGTCAGGGTGCTTGCTCAGGGTCCTACGGTGAGGGACAGTGGGGAGGCCGGATCGGAAGCCAGGCCTGACTGGCTCCGGAGTGTGCGTCTCACCGTCTGCTCGCCTGCCCCGAACCCCCATTCGGTTTCCCCTAAGTAGTGGTCGGAGAGACAGAGTGGACGCTACGTTTGAGCACTCTGTTCTATTCCAGCTCAACTGCTCCATGCGCTGAGGACAGGCATCAGGAGACACAGGGCAGGCGGGAGCCCATGTGACTAGGGCGCGGGCAAGTCCTCTACCTCTCCCAGGGGCTGTTGTGGGGCTCCCCTTGTCATCAGAGCTGTGGCCACCCTGGCCTGGCCCCAAGCCAAGCCTCGGCCGGCCCCAATCGCCCATCTTCAGGCTCTGGCTGCATCCCCGGGCCTCCTGCCAGCACCTGACTGACGTCCCCCCTCTAGTGCACAGCGCAGCGGTGAATGCCCTCTCCTTCCACCCGTCTGGAAACTACCTGCTCACCGCCTCCAGCGACTCGACCCTGAAGATTCTGGACCTCATGGAGGGCCGGCTGCTCTACACACTCCATGGGCATCAGGTGAGGGCATCAGCCTGGCGCTCGGTGGTGTGGAGGGAGGCAGAGGTGCTGTCTCGAGGCCCATGTGGGTCTAGGGAGTGGCCCTTCTCTTGGCACCCCCGCTGGGGATGGGCAGTGGGGTAAGATGCAGAAACAGGTTCACCCCTCACAGGACGTATGACCTCTGGCAGAAGGGCTGGGGCTGGTACTATAGCTGAGAAGGGAGTCCAGGGGTTAACTTTGTGGGTGGGAGAGGCATCTGGACATGGTCACACTTCCCCCAGGGGGCTGCATGGAATCTGTCCCTCAGTGACCTCCAGTGTCCCTTGGGTCCAACATTTGAGTAGAGGCCTGGAACCCCTGCCCTGAATGGGGGTCTCTTGGGGGTTCTCCAGACACGATGCCTTTGGAGACATAATCCACAGGTGTCTCTCAGGCAGGTGCTAAGGGAGGAAATCTTCGTGTGTGTGTGTGTGTGTGTGTGTGTGTGTGTGTTTGTGTTTGCGAATTCCTGGAATTGAATGGAGGGAGCAGAGACCTTTTCTCGGAGTGACTTTTACCAGTGTAGCCGGTGGCCTGGACTCCGTGGGTGGCCACTGACCAGCACTAGCCCCTGTGGGCAGGCCATGGGGAGGTGGGCCATTTGCAGTGCCCAGTCAGGAAGTGTGGCTGAGCAGAGCAGTCACTGGAATGTCTCCAGTTGGGACATAACTGCCACCACCAAAGGGGGCAGGGAGTGCGGAGATCAGAGCTTTCTTTTAGTTCATCCCCTTCTCTACCTGTGAGAGGGAGGCAGGCAAAGAGGAGAGCAGGGATGGACTCTTGAGGGCTGAGGGAGGCCTGCTGTGCTCACGCATCTCGTGCTGGCAGCAAGGTGTGAGGCATCTAGGCTGGGGCTCTGGTTTCTCCTGCCCTCTGAGTCGGCCATGTGGGGACCATTGACCATGGCTTGGGGAGGGGGCGGGGAGTGTGGGCCTTTTCTTCTGCTCTCTTGGGACTTGGAAGGCTGCCTGCTCCCCTCAGCCCTTGGTGACCACTTGTGCTCCCTGTCACATGTCTGGAGTGCAGGACCCCTCCCTGCAGCGGCCGCCCATCTAGGTGTAGTATCTGGCCTCTGGGCAACTGCTGGGAAGCCACCCTATCAGCCCTTTGGAAAATCGGTTGTTCAGACATGTGTAACCGGTTTGGGCTCTTCAATAACCAGGAGGACATTTTAAAACCACATGAATTGTGCTCTCCCCTCCAACTCCCCACAGAAAGAAAAAGCAATATCCAGAAACATCACGCAAACAGAGGCCTGCCAAGTGATCACCTAGGGCTTTTGGGATGTGTGTGTGTGCGTTTGTGTGTGTGTGAGAGAGTGTGTGAGGGTTCTCTTTTAAACTGTTGACTCACCTCTCAGCCTAATAAGCCTTAAATGTGGTGTCTAGAATGCCAGTACCGTGTTCAGGCATAGCATTGAGCACGTAAAGGAAACCTGTTGACGTTCTCCTGGAGAAGTGACAGAGGGAACGAGGGAAACTGCGCAGTGGTTTGTTGGCTGTGGAACCTGGAGATGTGGGAACTAGGTTGAGGGACAGCTGGCAGTTCATACAGCCCTGTGCGGGCGTGTTGTCCTCTTGGGCTCCCTGCTTGTGTAGTCCGCTCCCTGGCCCGTCTCTCCGGGGAGCTGTGCACCTGGACTCTTCGGGGACTTGAGCATTCACGTTCTGTTCCAGGAGGTGGCTGAGTGCCCCATCAGGCCCAGGTAGCACCAGCCACTTCCTGAAGCATGGGACTGAGCAGCCCCAGGGCTCCCGAGTGGATCACCGGTGCCTTGGGCTTCTGTCCTGCAGGTGAAGACGGCGGATTTGAAAGTACTTCCGATCCCGGTGGGGGCAGCTGAGGCCCAGGGAGCAGTTTGGAACTGTAGGGGTTGCACGCAGCTTCAGGTGGCAGGGCGAGGACTGGTGTTCAGGTCTCCGCGGTTCCCACCCTACTCACTTGCCTCACACGTCTGGCTTTTAGCTGTCGAGTTGTGATTTCACTCTTGTTTTGCGATTCCCGGTCGGTGTAGGAGGCCAGCAGGCTTTGTGACCGCTTGTGTTCCAGCCTTGCCTGCGGCGTGACCTCATTCTGGTCCAGCAGGAGGGAACCCCGTGAAACTTAGGTTTGGACTTGGCAGCCCTCCTTGGGACAATCCCCAGGCATGGGAGGGAAGAGCTGTGGGAGGGAAGGCTAGTGAGTTCTGCCAAGTGGAACGCACCTCCTCGTGCTTCTAGTTCCACACCTGCGAGAAGGGACAGCCCAGGCTCAGGGTCAGGCCTGCCGAGAGGAGCCAGCTGCAGGGAGCTGAGGCCGGCGGGAGGCAGTCCTTGGCCGGGAGGGCGCTCTGGGTGTATGCCAGGGAAGTGTCTCTCTGTCCCCGTGTGAGGGCCAGGCCTGAGCCAGCTCCTTTGGGGGAACAGTGAGGGAGGGTCAGGGAGGAGAAGGAGGCTCAGAGCAGGAGGCTCAGGGCAGGCAGTGCTGTGGGGCTGACACTCTAACCTGGGTTGAGGCTAGAAGTGTGATAGGCCATTTCATGGTCTCCTAAAGTCACAAGGGCACCGGGATGGAGGTGCTTGCCAAGTGCCAAAACTAAGGTCAGGATCACCTGAGAGCCCGGGTCTCCCATGCTGCACTGAGGGCAGCTCGTCAGCCCAGGAGTCTGGCCACAGCGGCAGTTTGCTGGTTGCTGTCTAGCACACAGTCGGCCATAGCGCCCATCGGCCCATGTGAAGCTGGCTCCCTTTGTGGGGTTAGGGGTGGATGTCAATCCTAAGTTCATTGTGGGCCTCAAGGATTCTGGTGTTTCTCTCCTGCAGTCCTGGCCTTGGGACTCTGAGCTTCGAAGGCTCATTCAGGGGAGGTAGCCGGGGACTGAGAGAGGCTTCTGCCCCATGGAAGCTCGATGCCACTTTGGCTGTCCCCCAGGAATGGTTCCTTGGCTGCTGCTAGGGCCCGTGGGGGCTCTTCAGAGGCTGCTGCCACATGAGTGTCTTTGAGTGATTGAGCACCGGGTGCTGGGCCGAGAGCTGGGCAGGCCCTTTGCTCTCTGCAGCCCGGGGGTCCCAGGCCCTCAGCAGCTCTGCTGCTCCAGCTGTGAGGGCTCTCGGCAGTGAGGAGGCGGCTGGTGGGGCTGGTGGGACAGGCTGAGGGGACCCCTCTACTTCAGCCGATCTGCCCACCCCAGGTGGAGGGTGGACGCAGTAGGGAGGGCACTGGCAGCCTGGATGGGGCACATTGCCTTCTTTCCTCCACCTTTGTCCCCAGGAATACCAGGGCAGTTTCTCTCAGCAGACTGAGCTAGTAAAGAGCCTGCACCAGTCTCCTTTGCCAGCGTCTTTGAGGAGAGTGCTAGGAGCCATTCTGGGGGGCGGGGCACAGCCTTGTCTGACAGGTGATGGTACCCAGCTTGTTTAAGGAAATACCCCAATGTCTCCAGGAACAAACAGCTTGTACCCACCCGTTTCTGGTTTCGAAACGCCACGGCTACTCTCCCACCTAGTTCAGCCGAAAAGCCTGAGCCTCAGGAGGCGGGAAGAAGGCTGTCAAGGTCAGACCATTCCAGCTTCGCCTCTTTCCCTGGGACATTGGGCAGGACCTTGAGCTCTTCCTTATTTGTAAGAACTGCTGCGTCTGCCTCATAACAGGGGAGCACGTGTCTACACTCCCCAGCACCTGGCACGGAAGGTTTTTACAGATACTGGTTCTTTCCCACTTTAGCTCTTAGGAAAGATCCCAGGCTGCTCTAGGTGAGCGCTCGTTAAAAGGCCATTGAACGTTTCTGTTATGGGCACGGTCCTGGCAGCCTGCGTGGGCAGTCCTCTGTAGGAAAAGGAGTCGCTGGTAGGGGTCTCTGATGGGCCCGGCCTATAGCCACCAGCCCTGCCCTCTCGGGGCTGGGGAGTGCCTGTTTCCCTTCCCTCCATCACCCACAGGGTCTTTCAGGGGTTTATCTAGCTCTTCGTTTTGTTTGGGCTTGTCCTCATCTCCCCTAAAACACCCTCTTGCTTTGGCTTCTCTTTGGCCACACAGCTCCTGATACCTGTCCTTGTGCAGGCTGTCTGCCTCAGCGCACTTGTCCTGGCTGGTTGCTCTGAGTAGGTGTGGTCTGTTAGTGCCTTGGTCCACAGGTCTGCCTGCTGGGCCCTTTAGTAGTCCCGCCCATCAGGCTGTCTTTTCTAGGGCCTGCCTCCCAGAGGATGGGCCAGGTATATTGGCAGGAGGCTGGCCGGGGTGCCATTGCCCTCTCAGAGGCTCCGGAGGGTCTTACTCTAGGGTCAGCCACGGCGGTGACAGTTAAGCAGAAGGAAGAGTGTCCCTGCTTCTTGTTGGATCCAGTGCAGACTTCAGGATGTCAGAATACAGGGGTCTCCTCTGGCATCCCTCACCTTGCAGCAGGGGAGAGCAAGAGAAGGAAGAGCTTTCCCACTGAGCACAGCTGTTGTACTGCAGCCCCATGCCCCGCTCGAGGCCCCCGTGTGGCAAGTGTGGGGGCAGTGTGCTAGAAATGCAGCTTTATTTTTCTGTATTTTCTGAAACATAATCTTGAGCCATGCTCATTTGGTTTAAGTCCCCAGAGCTATTTGGGAGAGGATGGTGGGCGGGACGTGGGTGGGAGTTAAATCTGGCGTTTCTGGCTAGGCAGTTGGCGTTCGTGCTGCTGCGGAGTGACTGAGCTGCACGGGGACCACTGGGCACGTGGTTCCGTGCACCCCGGCTGGCTCGAGGGCCTAGAACCCCAACCCAGGGCTGCTGTCCACACCTGGGGCTGTGCTCTGAGGCTTGGTGCTTGTGAAATCACAGGCTTAGGGTATGGGGTCCACCAAGGTCACTGGGAGCTTGGGCCATGCCAGAACCGAGGCTGGGGCTGGGGCAGTGGCATTAAGGGGTGTGCAGGGTTGAGGAGAGGGGGCAGTGTGACAGAGTGGCCTGGAGCACATGGGCTGCCCCTCAGGCGGCTCCAGGTGGAAGGAAGCTCTCAGAAAGTGCTCTGCCCCCTTTGTTTCTTTCAGTGCTCTGTGGCCCTGGTGTAATCATTTCACTTTGGAGAATTACTTTTATGCCTGGGAGGCTCAGACCCAGTTTGGATAGTTGGGCACCTCCGGGGAGGGGTGAGAGCACATCAAGAGGGAGAACAGCTCATTTACTTCAACTTGTGTAAGCCGAGAGGTCAGCCTGGCCTTCTGTTCCCTGCCCAGGGTTGAGGATTGGGAACCCGCATCCTTGGCCAAGGTCAGGAGAGAGCCTCAGCATTCCTGACCCCCAGCTCCTCCCAGAGGCTACCCCTTGTCCACAGGGTCACTACTCATACAGAAGAGTCAGCCACGGCAGGTGTCGGCGAGCGAGTGCAGGAGCGTCCCTGTTGTGGGGGTTGTGAAAGGAACAGCCTGGGCGCATCAGAGACCAGAGCTCCCACGCCAGGGGCTTCTCAGGCCTTCTTGGTCTCCATATCTTTGTTGGATGGTCACTTTTTTACCTCTGACTTGAGACATGTGGTGTGACATTCCTGTTTGTTTGCTGGCGGCCAGTGAAAAACATTTCAAAAGCCTTGGGAGGTGGTGGTGGGTGGGTTACTGTGCTGGGTCTTCAGCAGCGTAGCTGTTGTGGGCACCGTGGTCAAAGTTTCAAGTGCACAGGGGCCTTGGGGAGTCAGGTGGAAGGGCGTGAGGAGAGCGGAAGGGCCTGGACAAGCTACAAGGGCTGGAGAGGGAGAATCAGTAGGACCTATGGGATCTAAACACTGTGGGTTCCTTTGTTTTGCCTTTTTTTTTTTTTTCCTTAAACTTTCTTGATTGATGCTTGATGCTTTGCCATGCGAGAGCAAAGAAAGCAGATTTTGTGGGTCCCTTGGGTTTGGAGGTTGACAAGGCAGAGACAGTATGTGTTAAAGTGACTGGGTGGGAGGCCAGGCTGTGTCCTGTGCTTGTGATGACCGAGCAGAATCCTCTCACCGAAGCCTGACTGGCCAGATCTGGAGAGGGAGGGAAGGATCTGGTTGGACCCTGTGAGGGGTCTCTGCCAGCAGATGTGGCCTGCAGGCGGATGGGGACCAGGACGTCAGGCAGGTGGGCATCTCCGGAAATCAGAGCACACTGCTGAAGTCTCAGCCAAGAGCTCAGAGTCACGCTCGGGAGTCACTGCAGAGGCCCCTCTTGCCTCTGGTGCAGAGACCACTCGGCGACATCCCTGGCCCGAGCCAGTGAACTAATGCACCGAGAGTGACTAACTGAAAAGAGTAAGCCACCCTGAAGGCAGAACGATCTCAGAGAACGGCAATCCCATCTGATCGTTGTCAGTGATAAAAGGGACCCCCCCCCCCCACCGCCCCAAGCCATGGTGGTTTGGAAGCTAGAATGCCCGCCTAAATGATTGCTGGGCTGAAAGAGAATCACAGTGGAAATACCATCTGGAGGTGGCTGCCAGTGAGAGTACTGCATGTTGTAAACTTTGGGGGTGTAGCTAAAGTAGTAAATCGGTGCACACGTGTAGCCTTAAATGAGTTGATTCAAAACTGAGAAAGATTGGAAGAAATCAAATCAAGAGCTCAATGCCGAAAGTCGACGAAAGATCCTGAAGGCAAGATGAGACCCTCTGGAGCTTGTGGTGAGGAGCAGTGAGCAGGCTGATGGGGCTGGAGCACCAGTGAGGGCAGGAAGCGGTGCGGGGTGGGGGGTCTGGTGAGGTCGGTGGGGACGGGGGTTGTCTGGGCCCTGGAAGGGGTGGGATGAGGGTTGTCAGTGGTGGAGAAGCCCGGGCTGCGTTCCAGTCCCTGCTGGCTCTGGCCCATGGCAGAGCTCTCTTTGTGGGCCTCAAACAGGCGAGAGCCTCCGTGGAAGGGTGTTCCCTCTGGGAACGGCAAGGTACAGGAGCCAAGAATCCTCTGGGTAAATGGGCATTACCGGGAAGGACTGGGGTCCTGCCGCTACTGCTTGCCTGCTGCTGGCACCAGCCCAGGAGTGTCTGGGCATTTGGACTCTGGGGAAACCTCCAGCACCTGCTCTCTGGTCCCAGCTCCCACCAAGCCACAGGCTGCCGGCTGCCTTCTTCAGGGGTGCTGCTACTGCTGGCCTCCGGCATCTTGTCCCCAACTTGGCATCTGGTGGTTGAGTGACAGCAGGAAAGGAGACTGATGAGTATTTGTTTGGTTCCTCAGTTGCTGTGACCTCGTGGAAACTGGCTATTTCTCCATGAGTTCCAGGCAGGCAAGAGCCTGGCTCCTTTGACACTCCCGTGCCCTGGTTTCCTTCTCTTTTCCCTCTCCCCTCTTTGTTTTTCCTCAGAATGAAAATAGTTTTGTTGTTTTGTTTTTATATTAACATAGCAACGCCACATACTCATTGTTTAAGAATTCAAAGTTTGGGAAATTACAGGATTTCCAAGAATCAAGTAAGAGTCATCTGAAATTTTCTCTCCCCACCACCCCGGAAGTCCTGTTCACCCTTGGGGGTTGTCACCCTGAAAGAGTCTCAGGGATGGTCGAGCTGCCCCCTCCCCCTCCTGCACTCAGCCCCGCACTGGCAGCCCGTGATTCCTTGCACCTGGCATTTTGCACCGTTCCCAGTCGTACAGATGGATCTCCTTTGTCCTGATGGTCAGGTAGGGCTCCTGGCTGCACTGATCCCCGGGCGCTTGGAGCCCCACCTGTGAGAGAAGGCGGGGAGAGGCGCAGGGGGAAGGGGCAGGACCTTTCAGGCCTTGGTCTCCCTTCTGGGACATGTCAAACCGTCCTCCGAAGATTAAGTGGGTTAGTGCACAGCAGTGGTAAATGGCCCCGTACTACCTTCTTCCTCAGCACCCTCATTATGGGCATCTTGGAGAGGAGGAGCCATGGGTAGATTCAGGAAGTGGAAGAATGTCCCGTCCTGCTGAGGATGCTTGGGCCCGGGGGGGGGTGGCTTTCCACCTGCCTGTCCTCTCTGGGCAGGCAGAAGCCCACAGATTCCTGTTTTAGCCCATAACTTGTCTGGTCTTTTCTGGTATCAAGCGGAAGGTGCATCCTAGTGTTGCCCATGGCCAGAGGCACCCACTTGGGCAGCTGGGCCTCTTGCTGCTCCCTGCTCTGGTCTGGAAGAACAGAGGTGGCCTTTGTGACGGGGGCCATGCTGTCGTCAGGAGAGAAGCTCTTTTTTCTGGTTTTGCTTGAGAGATGCCAGATACTAGCAGACGGACTGTTTGGCTAGGAGGGATTGGTGGCTCACCGTGTCGTGTAAACAGACTCGCTTCGGGCATCTTTCTGCTGTGGATGTCAGGCGTGTGGGAAAGAGCCTTCCCCCTTTCCCAGGAGACCACGCCCTGCTCCTCCAAGCCTGGATGTGCTCCCGGGCCCTCCAGCTCTGCCTGCACTGGTCTGGCATCCCCCTTCCCACAGTCATCCAGACCTTCAGCCCCGGGGAAGCCAGAGTGGGACTTTCTCTCCCCAGGGTCCTAACATAAGGCAGGTGACGTGCATTTTAGGGGGATGTATCTTGTCGCTCCTGTGCTCAGGCACATTTGATAATCCCTTCCCCAGCCCCCTTCCTGCCCTGCTCTGGCCTCCTGTGTCCCCTGGACTCCCTGACAGCACCCTGCTTCTGCTCATCGGCTCCTGCTTGGGGCCATGCGCTTCTCTGCTCGGCTATAGGGTGGTGTGGGGGAGAAGCACGGCCCCAGGCCAGGAGGACCAGGTTCTGGAGCCGGTGCTAGGCCCAGGATGAGTCAGGGCACCTCTCTGACCTCCAGCTTGCCCTTGGGAAGTGGGGACAGTGATGTCAACCCAGCAGAGCTGTCAGTGTGCACTGTCCTGCTCACTCCTCCCTGCCCACCACGACCATGTGGCCTGGCCTTTGTGCTGTCAGCGGTGCTTGGGAACAGAGGACTCAGCCTTGACGCTCGAGGCTGAGCTCCCGACAGGTGCCTCTGTGAAAGCTTGGGGAGGACTACGGGCTCCATGAGGCCCAGCCCTCGGTCCTCCCGCTGCTCTTGTTCATGAGCTGGTTTTCTTCCTATGCTTTTAGAAGCTAGAGTGACCTTTGGTGTTTGTTCTTTTCTGTTTGTTCTGATAGGGCCCAGCCACCACTGTTGCCTTTTCAAGAACGGGGGAGTATTTTGCTTCTGGAGGTTCTGATGAACAAGTAAGTAAAGAACAGTGTGAGCAACGTTGGCTTATACTTACAGAAGGGCACAGGAGGTCAAGGAGCCTTGAGGATGGACCAGTTCTTGCCAGCTTCCTTGGTGGCTTTGAGTGACCGTGAAGGCTAAAACTTGGGCTGAGGTGCTCAGACCCAGGGTGCTCCACTTAGGAGCTCTTTGAGGGGCCCCATTTTTTTTTTTTTAAGATTTTTATTTATTATTTATTTATTTGACAGAGAGAGAGAGAGATCACAAGTAGGCAGAGAGGCAGGCAGAGAGAGAGGGGGAAGCAGGCTCCCCGCTGAGGAGAGAGTCCGATGCGGGGCTCGATCCCAGGACTCTGGGATCATGACCTGAGCTGAAAGCAGAGGCTTTAACCCACTGAGCTACCCAGGGGCCCCGAGGGGCCCCATTTTCAAACTGTTTGGCTGCAGGGGGAAGACACGTGTGAGAAGGTCCTGTCCCATTTTGTCACCGTTTGTGCCGAGGCTTTCCGCCTGTCAGCCCTGGTGCCTCCTGCCCAGAATGTTCCTTCACTTGGTGCTGGGCCTCACAGCTCTGACTGCTCAGCCCAGGAAAGTCCCATTGGCCTCCCAGCGAGCCCCAGCCCCAGCCCCATGGACAGATTGAGGTTGTCGGCCAGGAAAGCAGAAGGTGGTTGGAGGCTTTTGTGGCATGGCCTGGATAAGAGACCGTGGGCGTCTTCCCGTCCCAGCACCAGCTCCTGTGCTAACCAAACGAGGGAGGAGGAAGGCCCAGGGGACCCCTGAGCTGTCCCCGAGTGTGGAGGCCTGGATCATTGCTTAAACAAGGGAAAAGTCATACAGTAAGGTCACACTATAAATAGTCCTGGTAAAAGAAAGTCACAGGGTACAAGAAGCGGCCTAGTAGAAAGTAGGGCTTCTGCCCACTCTGGCCCCTCCTCAGGCTGTCCCTGTGAGTAGCTCCCTGGCTGCCTTCTGAAAGTCAACTCCCGAGAGCCTTTGCGGAGAGACTTGCGAATCTGTCCCCCTCCTGGGAGTGTAGCCAGCTGCTGGACCAGTGCGGTTATACTGGGCCCTACAAACAGGGTGGGAGGAGTGCTATTTCTGTTTGTAAACAGGAGGAGGAACAAAGGCCTCAGTGCCTGTCAGTCAGGGGGCAGTAAGCGGTGGACTGCCCTGGGAGTGGGGTGCGGCCTCCCACAGAACAGGGCTCATGGCTGCTTCGGAAGCAGGGAGGCCTCTCAGGTGTGGTGAGCTCGCATCTGATGAGGATTCGGGACTCTCTGGGGCCTCTGCTGAGCACCAGCCACACTCGTAGCTCCTGACACATTGTAAGTGACCCTGGTGCAGGGCAGCCACCTGGGACTGACACCTTCTAGCAGGAGCTCTCTTGCTCCCCAGCAGGGCCATTTTCCAGCCTTTTGCTGGGGGAGCCTCAAGACGCGATGCTCCTTCAAGCAGAGCGGGGAGTGATGGGTGTATTACCCACGGCTCCATGGCTACCAGTGTCTGCCGAGCTATCTCCTGTGAGGTTGGAAGTAACATCATCCCGTCTTCACGGATGAGGAACCAGAGGCACAGAGAGGTTGAGTGCCTTGCCTGGAGCCACACAGTAAAGGGTGGACCCAGGAATTTAACCGCAGTGGTCGGGTGTAACTTAAGGCCAGGCCGCGGCCCTTGGGAGCTTCTGTTTTGTGGGGAGAGAGACAATAAACGAGGACGAGAGACAGAGAAATTGAATAATTGTTGAGTCTGATGCTATGAAAGAAATCACTAGAGGGCTATGATAAACATTAGCAGGAGACCAGGACAGTCTCTCAGAAGATGCTGCTGAAGCAAGCACTTTAGCACAAGCAGCTAGCAATGCTGATGCTGGGACACTCTAGGAAGGGGCAACAAAGGGCAAAGGCCTAGGGACAGCATGAAGTGAGCCTACACGGTGGCCCGTCCGAAAAGTCTGGGAGGTGGGGCAGGTCCCAGAGTTGAGCGGGGCTGTCAGGTGGGGACTGTCTTGCAACTTTGGCCGGGGTCGAGGGGTGGGGTCACCTCTGGGCTCATTTCTTCCATGAAGTAGGGCTGGTGTGATGTCTGTGTGCTTGTTGCTCTCTGCAGGTAATGGTCTGGAAGAGTAACTTTGATGTTGTGGATTATGGAGAAGTCCTAAAAGTACACAGGCCCCCAGCCCCACTGGCCACGTCCTCTGGGAATCTGGTAAGTGGCTCAGCAGGCATGTCCCAAGCCCTGAAACTCTGGTGGGTCATGGTGAGCGGCAAATCATACTTTGGCACTTGCTGCACTTTGTTTCAAATCTAGAATGTACAAACAAGACGTGAGGACCACTGGGTGCGAGGTCCTGTGCTGTCTGGTGGGGGGAGTGTTTGCATGGCGCAGGCTACTAATGGTTGAGGAGAGGGAGGACCTGTCCCATGCCCCAGCCTTGGGCCGAGGACCCACTGCACTGGAGAGTTCCTAGAGGGCGTGGGGCCTGAGCCACAGCTGGGAAGGATGGGAAAGGCCCAGCCTTGTTGCTTTCACTTCCCTTTTTTTTTTTTAAACCATGGAAAGGAAGTTCCCCAGCCACAAACCTTTTTTAGTATCTTTGTCGGTAAAAGGGCATTTAGTGTTCCTGAATTAAAATAGTTAACCGCAATTTTTGACAGATACTTTTGGGGAAAATTTGATAACTGACATGATCTCATTGAATAAGGTTGCATTCCACTGTGGCTGAAGTAAGTTGTCAAGCCAAGGGTGTGGAGCCCTGAGGGTTTTAAGCCGTAGTGGCCGCAGGGTGTTTAAATCTCTCCCTCCCGGACCTTGGAGGCAGTGTAGCCTCTCCCACCCACGGAAACCAGCCTGAACAACAGGAAACGGCTTGCCCAAGGCCCCCAGCAAGTCAAGGCTGGCCCAGAATAGAACCAGGAAGCCTCTGAGTCCATCCTGGGCTTGCCTTGGCTCCAGCAGAGGGATCCCCCACCCCAGCCCGAGACGACACACGCGCACACACACCCATTCTGTGTGTTGGAGCTACCTCTAGGAATAGGCTGGGTTGAGATTTAAAGCTTTTCTTCCGAGGGTGGCCCTGGGCTGGGAGGTTTTGTTCTCTCTCCACATTTGTTAACGAGTAGCCGATTCTCAGTTTTGGGGTTTGGTGGGGATGACTGGGTTGCATTGCGGCCTGCTTGCTCCTGTTTGGTCTTCTGCCTAGAAAGGCATTTCTCAAACTGGAGGACTGGGACCCTGTGGGGTGAGGACCCTCTCCCCTCTAGCTCCCCCATCCCTCTCCCCTCTAGCTCCCCCATGTACTGGGCATTCAGTGAGCCGAGCCCAGGCTGGGCGGGTCAAGTTACTACTCTCATTCTCAGATGAGATGTCTGGGGCTTAGTCACCTGCCGGGATGCCTGGACCTGGGGGCTCACCACACTGGCCCCTCTGAGCAAGGCTGACCGAGCTAGAAACTGTAGGTGGCACAGGGCTGCCCAGCAGCTCTCCCCCATCCCAGGAGAGGGCACGGCCACCTGCCTCTTGGGAATGGTTAGTAATCAGCAGCAAGGGGAGAATCCCATATTCTTCTTGTGGTTATTAGGCAAGTGGCTTGGACAAGCTGCCTCTTGTCCCTTCAGTCTTGCTCAGATAAGGGGTATGGAGCATCCTTGCGCCCCAGAGCTGTGGGGCTTAATACTCTAGCACGAAGGCTTTCAGCGTAGGGGAAGCCAGCAGGACAGGGCAGTGTTTAGCAAGGATGGGAGACTAGCTCACCGGTACTCAGGAAAACCATGTGTTCCCATACTGCCTTCTGGCCCACGATGGAGCTATGGCCACAGTTCCCCTGGACGTCACCACGTGGTGCTTACACAGGGGAAAGGTTATGGCCTCGGGTCAGAGAACTGGGTCTGAATCCTGGCCGTGTGGTCCCAGATGAAGCACCCATTCTTCCCACACCTCTATTTCTACAACGGGACCTGAGTACTCCCGCAGGCAGGCTCTGAGGCCCCCATGTGGGACATAGGTGAACTTTACTAATCCACACAGCGACTGGACTTATTAGTCCTACAATTGTTGTTTATGGCTTTTCCTTTATTTGTCACACGCCCCTTTGCGACGCCGAGGCAGTGTATGGGGCCCTCATCCAGACAAACACCCATGCCCAAGGATACACACCACATGGAGTACACGTCTAGGGGTGTCTCTGATCTCAGGACTCCCAGGCCAAGAGGAGGGCTAAGGGGTTTTTGGTTGGTTTGTTCTGTTTTATGTACATGACATAAGATTTCCCTTTTGAACCATTTGAAGCATGCAGTTGAATGGCGGGAAGAGCATTCACCCTGTTGTACAGCCATCACCACTGTCACCCACAGTTTTTCCAGCCCCTGCCACCCAGGAGAGCCCGTTGGCCCAGTCCTACCCCGCGGTTAGGTTTGCCCCTGTGGTGGGAAGGGAAGCTGACAAGTACGGTCTCACCTTTCCTGCCCCAGGGCTTCCCTGGCACTGAGTTGTTGACTGATCCCATGGCTGGCCAGAGTGTCACCACTCCCCTGGGGAGCCCAGGTCATCTGCAGCCACATGCCAGGAACTGGTGCACCCGATGAGCTCCCGCCCCTCCCGCGGACCCCACCCCAGCCCTATGAAGGCTGCAGCGGGGGCTGTCCTGGGTCTTGCAGGATGCTCAGCAGCTCCTAGGCCTCTCCCTGCTGGCTGCCGGTAGCATCTCCCCACCCTTTGTTGTGACAGCCCCAGATGTCTTCAAACATTGACAGATCGCTTGGGGGGGGGGGTGCAGGATGGCCTACCCGCTGAGAATCGCTACCCTAACTCCTGCCTCAGGAGTGATCCCAGAAAGGCAGTGAATGCAACAGCAGGAGGGTAGGAATCAGGTGGGTCGGGGGCGTCTCTGTGGCAGAAACAGCATGGCCACTGTGCGGAGGTTGGGCTGCCCGGAGCACGATGACTCTGGAGCTCCTGCCCCTGCTCGATTGGGCCAGATTTGGGCTTCACCCGGCAGCCATGGCTCAGGTCTCTAGACTATCTCTAACAGAAGTCTATTTTATAGAAATGTTGTTTCAGCCTGTCAAACTTTGGAATCTTCCAGAGGTGACGGTAAACAACAAAAGAAAGACCTTTAGCAACTCGTTTTTTGTTTTTTTTTTTACTTACCATTGGAGTGCGTTCTTGCCCTTCCTGCCTGCCGGCTTCCCTGGCCCCGAGATGGTAACTGGTGAGTGGTTTGGTGGCTGGCCAGGGTGGCCTGGCTCAGCCCATGCCCCAGGTGCTCTTGAACCTTCTGACCCCCTCCCTCTCCAGCTCTGTCTCTCCCCAGAGCCTGGGGCCCTAAAGCTGCCCGACACACACCTGGGCATTTGAGGATCTTAGGGAGCCAGCAGGCCAGATACTGTGTGTGTCACGGAGGATGGCATTCTAAAGCCGGAGGGCAGGGCCCCCCCCACCCAGTGGACCATGGCCAGGGCAGCCCTGTGAGCGTGTGACAGCCCCTATGCCCTGGAAAGCCCCCTGCCCTGGACCCCTGCTCGGACTGTAGCATTCAGCTCTCTCTCTTGGAATTGAAGGCCATCCTTGAGCTCACTCTGAGCAGAGAGCTCTGTTCACTGCCAGAGCTATTTTCAACCTCTGGTTGAAATTCACAGCTTATTTTTAGGCACATTTCATGTTGAAAAGCACAAGCCATTTCCCAGCCCTTCAGAATGAGAATAATGGGTTCCATCTTCCCTCTATTCCTGGCTGAGTTGTGGAGGAGAGAGTTTAGGGCTGTGGCTGGGAGCTTTCTCTGCTTGGAAGGTTGCAGAGGAAGGGCTCCAGCCCAATGGCTGAGCTGGGGGCGGCCGGGAAGCTCCGTGTTCTGCCCTGTAACACGCTGCAAGGCCGGAGGGAGGTCGGGAGGGCTGCTTGCGGGCAGATGAGCACTTCCCAGAGGGGCACGTGTCGGGGCAGGGGGTGGGCCCTGCCAGTCTTAGATAGCAGGTGCTCCTGCTGCTGTTTTCAAGGGTCTGGTGCTCACCTCTGTCCTGAGCTGCAGTTCCCGGCCTTCTCTGTTCTCTCGGCACTCAGCCACTCAGGTTCTAGCTCCTCTTAGTTCCCTCCTGCCAGCCCATGAGGCATCAGGGTCACTGTGTCTTGGCTGACCTTGGATTTGGCCCCTGCTCCCCCAAGCCCAGCTGTCATAGGACTGATTTCTGCCTCAACCAAAGAAGCATTTTAAAACCACTTTTAACAGCAAAGATGCATTTGTTCCGATTTACTCTTCTTGCCTTTCCTCCACAAACACCTGAGAGCCTATTATGTAATTGCAAAGGAAGGTTGTGCCGCGCGGGGTGGGAGGGGAAGAGCGCAGAATTCCAGGTAATTCGGGAAAACTGAAAACCACTTCCTGCGTTCTCGGGCCTGGCTGCCCTCCAGTTCAGACAGTAACCTTGAATTTTGGGGCCCCTCAACCTCAGATGGGAGGACGCCAGGCCTGCCTTCATGAGATTTCACGAGGTGGTGCATGCCAGGCAGCCACCTGGAACCGTGCCTGGCACATGGCAAGTACTCACCAAGCTTTAGCTGTTTTTAAAATGTTCCTCTTCCTTCCTCTGTCAGACCGAGAGCAGGATGAGCCCCCTGCCCAGTCGGGCTGATTGTGTGTTCCCCACTTGCCGAGCGGGGGGACAACATGCAGCAGAGGAGGCGATTCTGACAGAGATAATTTTTGATGTTGACTGTTCTCTGCAGGTCGCCTTTGTGAGGTCCGGTGAGGGTTTTAGACCCTTGCAGGAATCAGTTCTGCTTCCTGATGAGACCCAAGTCCTCTGTGCTCCCAGATCCAAAAGCCAGTCCATAAGGTGAATGGAAACAGGCTTCTTTTCTTCCACCACCCCCATGACTCCTCAAAGCAGAGTGGCTGCCCATGGCCCCCCGCCCTCATCCAGATCCTCAGTGCTAGAGCTGTCCCCAGGAGGAGGTGGCAAGGTTGGCCAAGAATGCTTGACCCGAGGGCTCAGCGTTCCCTGAGGATGGCCTGTTTCTTCTTTCTAGTTTCTCTGTTCTGAGGGTGAATCCCCAGCTGCCTCCTACACCCATGCTTCCACTTTCTGTTTTGGGGTGCTGCCATGGGTGGGGCTTGATGTAGGGGTTCTTGGGCTCGATTCCAGTCTTGGCACTGCCTCTTACCCCATGCTGAAGATCTGAGGCTCCTGGGTTCTCACCCCAGGCATCTAGCC